TTCACGCTAGCAATATTAATTATAGAAAACAAAAGTTTTAATTCGCAAAGTTGCAGATGTTGAAAAGTTGTTTTGCTATAATTAAGGGAGTGAAAATTCATTTCAAATCTAAAAGCTTAGATCGAGAAATTTTAATCAAATTTAGTCAAAGGACATATATGAATATTATGTTGAAAAGGTTCGACATAAGGGAAATTCTATATATAACAATATTATATCAAGAGACTGGTATAGCATCATGTCTTTATGTAAGACTTTATGTATCATATCCCAATACGCTTCAGGTATAGGATCGATTGCATATGTTGTAATATTCAACCGTTTTGTCTATTCCAAATGCCTAGGTCATTAAGAGGGAAAGGGAACAGAACCGGATATGACTAAAATTAGTTAAACAACTGTCAAGGATGGTCTAAGGTTCGCCAAGGATTGGTCACTTGTGGGCACTTGGAAGTAATGTATTGGATGGAACATATCGTCATTATTATGAATAGATAGGATTCTATTTAGAATGAGTTGTCATATGGAAAATATGGAAATGTTTCCATAATGGGAGTTGGATATTAAGAATTTATGTAGATTGGGAACTTTCATGCAAGAAGGATGTTCGAAGGAATGTACTTTGAATTTGAGACTTCATATGGAGTTGTCTTGTAACAATCTCCAATAGAGCACTTTGTAATTTCATTGGCAAGGTCCTTGTGACTTTGGTGTTATGTCATTACAAAAGGATCATTGCGTAAAATGTTAGAATCTAACACATAGCAAGAAGTTGGATTGGGAATTGTGAAATGAGCGTCATTGGAAATGTGTTCAATTTATCTATTTCACACAGTAAGGACCGTAGATAAATATAGTGTGCATGGGACAACTATTGTTATAATTCAAGTATTAAGTTGATTATCTGAAACATTATACAATGAATAATGTATAATCGATATGGTGATTAAATAAAAGGTGTTTTATTTATAGTCAAAAGTTTGAGGCCGTATTGGATTCGATTATTCTTGTGTTTCACTTCGCATGTTTTGACTTCCAGAATAACTAGGTTATTCAAACATCCACAGTCAATCATACTTTGGAAGTAGGTAATGAGGTAAGACTGTCATGAATCCGACTGTAGATTGTCTAAGTGTTAGGCATAGCAAAAGTCTGCTGCAGCCTGCAGTGTTCATGAGTGCTCCTGAAATAAGATTTGAGTATTGGATTAAACCACGCTCACATGAATCACTTCATGGATTTTATCACGAGTGATTATGAGACGATAATTCTTATATTCTTGAAATTGAGACATGTGAGTTGTAGTTTGCAATTCGGTTGCACATTGACGTATGTAAACGCACCAGTAACTTGGTGTTATAAAACATATTGTTGTGTGTGATTTGATAAGTAACTACAAGCAAGCATTTGAGTCGAATTTTATCCGTTCCTTTTACCCTAAGAGGGATAAAAGCGATATATGTGTGCCCCTCGATGATTTAGTGATGACACCCTAAGCGCTTGGCCAAGCCTGGACTAAGTTGATGTGTTCAACTGAAGTCTATTGGCAGTCGTCTTAAATCGAAAATCGCGAAACAACACATAGACACAGAGAATGATTATAATCCATGTCTCATGTCTATATGATGTCTAGAATGGAGGAATATATGATCCATTATCTAAAGGACGCGTTGCTGATAAGATTAGAGTTTGACAGCGACTTTTGAAAGCTATGATTGCTAATCAGGTTCTGAAGTCGTACTTGAAAAATAGTTATTAGACTTATCCAAGTGGGAGACTGTTGGATTAGGTGTCTAAGCCCATAACTATTTTGGTATGTACTTGACCCGATTATGAGCATGGTCCTTTTGGGTTGCCTTCACCATAGGAACTGATAGGATGAATTATGGAGAAAGAGGATTAATTATGATTTATTAATATATTATAAGAATAATATATTAAAAGAGAAATCATATTATTTAATTAGTATTGATCAGAAATTAATTTGGAATTAACTTGGTGATCAAAAGAGACTGATTAAATTAGCGGGGACTGATTATGTAAATCCGTAATATTTATAGTTTGGGCTCATGGACCTTACTGGTATAAGGTGGACGAAATCTCTATGAGAGTCCATAAGGATTTCGTCCAAGGCTTTTTCATTAAGGAGTCCATATGTTGCTTAGGGCCTAAGCGAGGAAATTAGGGTTTCCAAGTTGATGACCCTAGAAGCCTTAACTATAAAATGAACCCTAAGGCTCCTAAAATCGTCCCCATGCATTCTTAGGGTACCTTGGACGATTTTGAAGCTCCTTCCTCTCTCTCTTGTTCTTCCTTGTTGCTAGTGGTGTTTGTGACTCCATTAGAGGTGCAACACTTGGGGCATTAAGCTTTCAAGAGTCAAGGACTTTGTGGATTGTTCTTGTTATTTCTATATAACAAGAAAGGTAATATCTAAACCCTATTTTATATATATAATTTAGAATTTATATGCTAGTCATTAGGGTTGATTGCTTTAGTATTTAATGTTGTATGTTCAATTAGAGAAACCTAGATCCGAAGCAATTAGGGTTGCATGTACACCATAGGAATGATGTTATTCCCATAACCCAACAATTTCATGATGTGTTATAAACCTACTTAAGAAATTTCACTCAATGTACAATCTTGGAGTATGACTTTAAGACTTGATATTGGAACGAAGTATGACTCACCTTTTGATTTAACCATTTCATCAATTCACGATTCCTCTTCTTAGCCATACAAATGCACTAAGATGTCCTTAGAGGATCAATTGTGATATGGTTCCATAATCACTATGATGATCATAAAACACGATACTAAAGTTCTTTCCTTTCCTTTCAAATTGGAGAAACTTTTTATCTTTCTGCCTAATTTGATTCTTCTTATTCGTTCTGCTATACATTGAAACTTATCCAATGCTTCAGAATTATACTTAATCTTGAAAGTATAACCATATTTACTAAACTTTTAGTAAATCATAACAAATAGTCTTATCGTTCTATGTGGTGGATCTGACCAGTGCACAACCAAGTGTACTAGATCCCCTAGTCCTTCACTTGACTCACGTCTATATGTGAACAAGGAATTAGTCTTAATTTCCCAAAGACAAAGGTTCTCATTCATCACACAACACAAGTTGCATGATTCTAAGTTTCTATCCAATTGAAACTTGGGCAATGAGAATATTTCCTTATTTGGTAAATTATGACACTACCACAAACAAAAGAATCAAATCCATTTTCCAATATTGCTAACAATAGAAATATACAAACATCAATTTTCACAAATACCATTGCAAGGATAAATATAAAACAAGATAAAATCAAAAACTTTCTTTATTTATAATATGGAGAAAACTTATCCTTACAACGCAATTACAAATGAAAACTATGTTTCTAAATATTCCTAAGCAATCTATCATGACTCCTAAGTAGCAAATCAAAAATCTGACTTAGCTTACTCTTCCTTTAAGCTTCCTTTCTTTTCTTCGATTCTACAAAACATCAAAATGTGATCTCATCACATCATGTATTAAGAATCTTCAAATAGGAACTTAATAGAGTTAGATTGTGGATTTACCTAAAGCAGAGTCATACATTTTGACTTTACCATCCTTGTGGTTCTTCAGGTAGATACGGCAGATTCGCATCCAATGCCCCTTCTCTTGGCAATAGAAACAAACAGACCTTCTCGGAATGGCACACGGGACAATCACAGACTTAGCCTTTCTCTTTACCACTTGGTCAAACGGTTTGACCTTGGCCTATCCATTAGGAAGTGAAAGCTTTTCTGGACTTCCAATGTTGCGATTGTCAATGTCCATGGATATTTGGGAAGTAGATCTTCCAATCAAATTTGCTTTACCAGTGTCCCTAATCATTTATGATTCAACATCAATTAGCAAATAGGTAACATCGATGAGGGTCACGTCGTGGTCTGTCATATAGTAATCTTTAATGAACTCACTACATGCTTTCTTTCATTGGTTCAATCCCAGAAGCAATGTTTCGAGATGTGCCAGCTTCTAGCAAAATCTTAGAGGGATACAGGAAACCGACTCCATCTAGGCCTCGTTTATTAACTCAAGAAATGCAAGCTATCATAGCTGAGGCTGACAAACCCAAAAAGAGGGGACAAAAGGTGCAAAGAAGGGCGAAAAGAAAACCACTGATAAGGAAGGGCCTTCTGTGGCTGCGAAACCTCCTTCCAAGAGAAAGGCACCAACGGGAACTTCTGCTGCTCCCAAAAGGCGAAAGCAACCTGCTCGCAAGTGAAAGTCTCCCACACCAAGTGAAAGCGAAAGTTCGGAGTCTGAGACACAGTCAGAGATTCGCATGAAGGAGGATGATACCGTTCGCAACGAGGATGATAACATCCGCAACGAAAGAAGAGACATCAAATCCTAAGGTAACTCAAACTCTTAACGATTATGTTCCTTCTCCTCCTCCTTCGACTAAAACCACATCTACCCCAATTACCATTGCACCATGCCCTCTACCAGTCTCTTCACAGCAACATACTAGCATTCCTCTTTCTACCCCACTATTCACTGATTCTACAATCCTATCTACTACGTCTCGGTCAACGTATCTGATATGGGGGCTAAATCTTCAGGTTTCTCAACCCATGTTTCACCACCTATTTCCCCTCTTAACCGAGATGACCCTGATATGATCTTTGGTGATGATGAAGACGAAGATCTTGGGGGATTCAATTACAGTCCTTTCCAAATACAGACTGAGGGTGAAGATGATGTGTCTGTTAAGAAAGGGCAACTTCAATCCCTACATGAAAAGATTGACCAACTACTTCTCTCTGCCAAGGCTTCATCTTCTGATGCATACTCTAAGGTGGCAGTCGAGTCTCTCTTTGAACGAATCACGAAGGAGCATTCTGCCAATGCTGAAAAGATGAATAAAGCAGTTACTGCTTCTGCTGAAGTTTGCAAGACAACGATCAAAAAAGTCGATAAACTAATTTCTGACACTACTAAATTCATGGAGAATTTCCAAACCACCTTTAACTCAAATACCACGGCGGCCAATGAATCTCTAAAAAGTATGGGTTCTCTCTTTAAATCTGAGAAGGCTAAATTACAAGAAATTCATACTGGTCTGAAAACTGACCATGAAGCATTCCAAACCTCCATCTCCTCTCAAATTACCAAGCTTCAAGACGAACTGGCAATGGCGAGTAAAACCAAGGACTCTCTTGCCCTCAAGACGGAAGAAGTAACGGTGTTAAGTGCTAAACTGGAAGCTTCAAAGAAACCGGTTAACGATTTGCTATCTGAGAAAGCTTTCATGCGAAGCTGAATTATAGATGTTACAGGCGTGCTCTCGGATATCATTAAGACCAGGGACTCAATGAACACAATTTCAATGCGATAACATCTTGCTGAGAAGTTCAGGCCAGTATTCGCAATGCTTCAGAGGCTAGAGGATGTTCCGGAATCTGGCTTTATTCCGAAACAAGGGGGAGAAAGTGCTTCAAGAAAAGAAGACCCCAAAGCTGCCTCAAGAAAAGAAGACCCTAAAGCTCCAGTTAAACCTGCTGTCAAGCAAGAACCTAAGGGCAAGGAAAAACTATTCAGTGAAGAGCCCATCATCGATAATAGTGAAGACGAAGAAGGGCTGGATGAAAACGAGCTTAAAAGGCGAAAGGCTCGTGAAGCTGAATTGGATGAGCACCAACAAATCATCCGAGAGTCTGAAGAAAAAGAAAGAGCTGAGAAAGAGGCTCAGGCCACTCTTCAAAGCAAAAAGCTTTTATTTCCCAAGTGGACCTTGAAGAGAATCCGGAATGATGTTGTTGATTTACCTAGCCATTATTGGTTAGAGACAATTGTGTCGTTTGATCTTCAAAGCACACAGGAGTCGCAATTGGATCTACCAATCACTCCAAAGGCTTTCAGGTTTCATACTTTTATGAAAGTTGCGAACGTTCCAATCACAGATAGCGGGGTTGATCACATGTTGTTCTCTTTTTATCTGAAGCACATGAAACCGCAATATGAAACATGGTATTTAAGCAAAATAACTGGTGTGAAAGTCACAGGACCAATCAAGACTGACAGCTTTCCAAATGCGAAGTTCAAAGTGGTAAGTGGTTCAGCCAACCAGTGCTACGAATTCACACTCGCAGACTTACCTTTTCTGAATCCCCATGACTGGTTCGTTCTTTACAACATGCTGCTGAAAGACAAAGAAAAATACGAACCTGTCAGGTCTCATCTCCAGTAAATGATAAATTCTTACATTCTAGAGATTGGGGATATGGACGTAGAGATAGTCGCGGTGTTATGAAAGAAGCCTTCTGTTGTTCGTAAGGAGTTTCCAAAGGACTTCAAAAAACTGAAGCTAGGGAAGATTTACAGTAAGGAATGGTACGTGGTGTATCAATCTAGGGAACGAACTAGTGCATACTTTCGCAAGGTATGTTTCTTCCTTTCTGACAAGCATTTGTACACAACATCCTTTCTTGAGTATATATTGGACTTGGTGAATAAATTCAAGAGCAACAGTAAGGATGATCCCAAGTGCTTCTCTGATATGGTTTCGTGGTACATGCAAGTTCGACGGTTTGGCATCATTCCAAAAGTTTACGAAGTGCACAAGCGAATTCAAGGCTAATGGTTTTGGGCCTCAATTGACGTAAAGGGGGAGATTGTTAGGTATTAGATGTTGCGTCATTGGGCTTTTAGTTTAGTCTTTATGTAAACTGGTTGGGCCTGTACTCCTATATGTTATCTACTAGGGTTAGAGTATTTAAGATGCATGCATGCATCGTATTTTAGTTAACTTTTGATTTTTACGATGTAACCCTAATCACGCCTCTACAGTAGCAATTCTTCATCGAGTTCTTCTAAGGCGTGACACTTAATCATTCAACATCATTTTGAATCATTGTTGTGTTATTTCTTTTACTTGTTTTGAATCTAAACGATTTTTAAGGATTTTAATCATAACAGGAACAACGGGGTACGGAATCAAGTACGAGAGGATGGGACAAAGGTGACTTATTGGTTATAGTGATAAGAGTCACAATGTTGACCCGGATGACGGAAAGAGCACAACCGGTCACATTTTCAACTATGGGCCATCTCCAATTATATGGTGTTCCCAAAAGCAAGATACCGTTGCTTTATCATCTTTTGAGACAGAATTCATGATGGCCACGGCGAACGCATGTCAAGTAATATGTCTTCAAGATTTGCTCGGAGAAATAATGAACAAAGCACAAGAGAAAGTGGTTCTTAGAGTTGATAACAAGTCGGCTATCGAACTAACGAAGAATCATGTTTTTCATGGAAAAAGTAAACATATTCACACAAGGTTTCACTTTATTCGTAATTGTGTTGAAAATGAACAAGGGGAGATGGAGTACATTCCCGATGAAGAACAAATGGCAGACATTTTTACGAAACCGCTAGCTCGAACCAAGTTCAAGGAAATGAGGAGCTTGATCGGGATTGAAGACGTCTCTAGAAGGACTTAGAGATTCGGGGGGTGATTGTTGGAATCCTATGTTGAGTAGGACTTGGAGACCAAGCAATTCAATTTAAAGCAACCTAGTTTTAGGAAACTATGTTCAAGTCGGTTCCTAGTTTCCTAAATGTGATCTAATTCAAGTCGGTCATTAGGTCTATATATACATATCTTAATCGAGTTTTAGGATTAAGAGTGAACAATTGTAAAACATCGTTTTTGCGTGATTTTTGATGGGTTTTGAGCACTACATCATTCCTATGGTGTACATGCAAACCCTAAAGCTTTGGATCTAGTTTGTCTAATGAACATGCAATAATCATCCAAAGCCATAAACCCTAGATCTAACAGTGATAATCGTTATTAACATAAGAATAGGGTTTAGATCTTACCTTGATTGTTATGTAGCAATAACAATCTCAATTCCTCCTTGTTATTGACTTCTGAAAGCTTAGTGTCACAAATGTCACACCTCTAATGGCTCACAAACACCAAGAGCAAGAGGATGACTTGGGAGAAGAGAAGGAGGCACCAAAATTCGTCTAGAAACCCTAAGGAATCAGTTAGCCACGTTTTTGGTGCCCTAGGGGTCCTTAAATATGTGAGGCTATTAGGGTTTTGAACTAGGAAACCCTAATCTGACTGCTTAGGCCCTAAGCAGCCCATGGACTCCTTTTAGAACATCCCTTGGACGAATTTATTATGGGCTTCCCATAGAATTTGTCCAACCTATGTTCCAAGGTGATCCATAGCCCAATTGCAACAATCTTATAATTACAATATCATCCCCCAAGTTTAATTAAAGTCTTTTAGTCACAAAATTAATTTCCTAATTAATTCTTGACTAATATTAATTGAACAATATGATTTCTCTTTTAATATATTATTCACATAATATATTAATAAATCATAATTATTCTCTTTCTCCATAAATCATCCTATCAAGTTGCTTTGTTGAAGGCAACCCAAAAGGACCATGCTCGCAATCGGGTCAAGTACATACCAAAACAGTTATGGACTTAGACACTAATCCAATAGTCTCCCACTTGGATAAGTCTAACAACTATTTTGTGTATGACTTCAGATCCTGATCAGCAATCGTAGCTTTCAAAAGCCGTTGTCAACTCTGATCTTGTCAGATACGCATCCTTTAGATAAGGGATCATATATTCCTCCATTCTAGATATCATATAGACGTGAGACATGGATTGAAATCATTCTCTCAGTCTATGTGTTATTTCCCGATTTCCGATTTACGACGACTGACTAATTGAGCAAATCAAATTAGTCCTAGCCCAGCCGAGCATTTACGTTTTTCATCACTAAATCATCGAGGGGTCCACAGATATCGCTTTTATCCCACATTGGGTAAAAGGAATAGATAAACTTCGACTCAATGCTCGCTTGTACTCACTCACCGAATCACACACAACAATACGTTTTATAACACCAACTTACTGGTGCGTTTACATATTATCAATGTGTAACCGATTTGCAAGATACAACTCACACATCTCGGTTTCAAGAATACAAGATATTATCGTCTCACCAATCACTCGTGATAAAATCCATGAAGCGATCCAAGTGAGTGTGGGTTTAATCCAATGCTCTAATCTTATAGGAGCACTCATGAACGCTGCAGCAAACTTTTGCTATGTCTAAAACACTTTAGACAATCTACAGTCAGATTCATGACAGTCTTCTTTCATACCTTCATCCAAAGTATGAGCGACTGTGGAGGGTTTGAATAATCTTATTATTTGGGAAGTCAAAACATGCAAAGTGAAACACAAGAATAATACTAATACTATATGGCCTCAAACCTTTGAGTATAAATAAAACACTTTTATTTAATCACCATATTGATTACTCATTATCTGTTGTTTCGGGTAATCAACTTCTTACTTGAATTATGAGAACAGTTGTCCCATGCTCTTAACATGCACACTATGTTTACCTATGGTCCTTACTTTGCGAAATAGTATAATTGAATAACATTTTCAACCACACTCATTTCACAATTCCCAATCCTTTCCACAAGTGTAAGAATACCAAATTCTTGCAACTTATAGAATATGTTATATTCTAACATTTTATGCAATGATTCTTTCGTAATGTCACAGCACCAAAGTCACAAAGACTATTGCCAATGAAATTACAATGTCCGCTTTTGGAGATTGTTGCAAGACAATTCCATAGACATGAAGTCTCACATTCAAAGTACATTCCTTTGAACATCCTTCTTGCATAAAAGTTTTTCTAATCTAGACATAGAGATTCTTAACGTCCAACTCCCAATATGAAAACATTTCCATATTTGCCATATGACAACTCATTTTAAATAGAATCTTATATATTCATAATAATGTCAATATGGTCCATCCATGACTATACTTCTAACTGTCCACAAGTGACCTATCCTTGGCGAACCTTAGATTGTCCTTGACAGTTGTTTAAATATTTTAGTCAAATCCGGTTTTATTCCCTTTTTCCCTCTAAATGCCCTAGGCATTTGGAAAATTTTATAACGGTCGAATATTACAGCATATGCAATCGATCCTTTACCCGAAGTGTATGGGATACGATTCATAATGAAAAACGTGATACTTTACCAGTTTCTTGCTATAATATTGTCATAATATTTCTATTTGCCGTGTTCTCAAAATTCGAACTATGAAGAGGGATGTCGTAATCATAATCGAACTTTGAGAATGCAAATAATAAATATATCCTTGACTAAATTCTATTAAAATTTCTCGATCTGGAAATGAAGTACAACATTCTCTCCCTTAATTATGGCAAAAACAACTTTTCAACCCCTGCAACTT